GTGCATTCCATCCCATTCCGCCACACGTGGACATGAGCAACGGAGCACCTGCCGTGATTCCACTGGATGGTTTGCCGTCTCCCATCAGCATCCCGCGCTCCGCTGGACGGGACTCTGCAGCGCCCTCGCCACTGGGCACGCCTTCACCTGGTCGATCGCCCGATGGACGCTCGCCAGCCGCGGGGAGCCCAAGTCTTGGCGGCGGGGCTGGCAAGTGGATGCAAAAGATCTTTTCCAGATCTCCTCGAGCCGAGTCGCCCGCTGCTGAACAGACCTACGCGGGCTGGAGTCGGGAGCCTAGTCCGGCCATTGGTACGAACCAAGCGCCTCGCGCTCCATACGAGCAGAGTAAAGGTCGTGGATGGAGCGCTAGTCCTGCTATGGGAGACGATGAGCGAGAAGCGAGGCTGCAGCGCGAGCGCAGCCAAAGGGAAGCGGCTCGGATTGTCGATGAAGAGCGCAGAGCGGTCATCGATCGTCCCTTGCAGGGGTACGATCCGCGCACGGACAAGCCATTCAGCCCAAGACAGGCGATTGCAGATCCTCTGGACCCGGATGGTGTGCGAGATGGCCGACTTGAGAGGCAAACGAGAAGCCCGCCTGGTCGCAAGCCTGTGCCCAGATTCGAGCCGAGTCAGGAACTGCCTGCGCCGGACGAGCTGCGCCGAATGAGCTTGGGCACCCGCGAAGATCTTGCACGACAGGTCGATCCTCATGATGCGCTCAGCCGACTCGAAGGAAGGCTAACGCCAGCTCAGCAGTGAGTGTTGCGCGTTTAGGTGACGAATAGCTAATAGCTAACTTCTTCAACTTGTGTCATTTCTCAGAATCATCGCTGAGACACGGTCTCGACATCTGGCGAGGGAACGAGAGGAGCAGCAGACCGCCTTGACACCTGTCAGGCTGACTACTCAGATGCAGCGCGGTTTTGATGTGGGCGGACCAGACTCCGGCACTCCAGCACACGGCAAACAGCCTTCTCACCCTCCAACATTGCCCTCAAAATCTCCTGCTGCCTCTCGGCGCAATCCCTCGGATGTCCCTCCAAGCGAGAGTGCTGATCAAGTGGAGACGCCTGTTCGCAGAGGCTCTAAGCGTGCCAATACACGACCCGACGATGCGCAAGCACCGGGCCCGGCGATGCGTGTTGCCCCTCCTGCTGCTGCTGCTGTGACCCCTCAAAACCCAGCACGGACGACACGGCAAGGGGCAGCGCCGGCAGGCCGCAATCCTGCTGCTGCCGCGGGTCTGGCGCCTGGGCAAGGGCCTCTACCCATGGACATGACCTTGCCGCAGGCGCTTCAGGAGATGATGGTCCGGTTTTACAAGTACGAGCGGTACTCGGTGCCTCTTATCAGATCGCTAGAGACGCGCCTGCTGGACATCGAGCGAGATGCGCAGATGGCCATAAATGGCGACGCTGCGAGTGCGCACAGCGGCAGAGACCATGAGATGGATCGCTGGGTGGGTCAAATGACTGGACTGATGAGACACGAGGTTGGACAACTCAAGGCGGCGACCCGGGAGATCCGAGAAGGGCGAGAACTGCTCGCGCAAGTGGTCTCGAGGAGCGCTGGAACGCAGCCTGGGAGCGCCTTCTTGCCGCGTGCTCAAAGCGCTGAGAACGCTGTAATCGCAGCCAGCAGCGTGAGCAGCACTACAGCTGATGCTGGTGCGCCGCTCGCCGCAGCATCTCCGCCCAAAGCAAACGCCAAGCTGATCGCCGCTCACGCTAAGCTAAACGTTTCAGCGGCGCATGGAAATCGCACCAACAATATCTCTTCGGCATCTTTCAACAGTGCCATGCCGAGGGCCGATGCTGGACTCGAGCTCCCACCTGGCG